CCGCAAACGTCTGCCTGAACTTTCCCACTGGGACTTACCCGCCACTTCCAACACGAACATACGGAGAAGGCTTATTGTAATCGAAGAAACGAAACGAAGCTAGGATAACACACCTAATAAAAATTTAACTGTATTCAGTAAATATGGGTGAGTTTTATATGCTCAATATTTACAAAATATTTGCCGAAAATAATAATATTTAATACGTATATGGCTCGTTTCGCTAATTACAGATAATCACAAATCTGTAATTAGCGAAACAAGGTTCTTACACGTACAAAATGTACAACTGTCATGGAAACTTGACCAGTATATTTAGCTTTCTAGTGTATATAATAACATAAAACATTTGCCGAAAATAACGGGATTTTAATTAGTAAATGGTTTGTTTCGCTAACTACAGATAATCGAAATCTGTAATCAGCGAAACAAGGGTCTGACACGAACACAACTGTTGGACGAAACTTGACCAGTATATTCACCTTTCAGTAAGAGTATATAACGAAATAATACATTTTCCGATAATAACAATATAATCAGTAAATGATTCGTTTTGCTAATTACAGATAATCGAAAATCTGCAATCTCGCGGCGAAACAGGGTCTTATTAAATTACAGATACAATAATCACAAATATCGGACGAAACTTGACCAGTATTTTTAACTTTCAGTCGTGTATAAAACTTCATAAAATAATTATCTATAATTAGCGAAATGAACCATTCACTAATCATAAAATCCCCGTTATTTTCAGCAAATGTTTTATGTCGTTATATACGCGACTGAATGGTGAATATACTGGTCAAGTTTTGACCGACAATTGTTAATATTGTACGTTTCAGACCCTTGCTTCGCTGATTACAGATTTTTGATTATCTATAATTAGCGAAACGAGCCATATACATATTAAATATTATTATTTTCGGCAAATATTTTGTAAATATTGTGCGTATAAAACACATTTTCACTGATTACAGTTTAATTTTTATTATGTGTGTTATCCCGTTTTGTTTCGTTTCGTCGATTACAATAAGCCGCATACAGAAAGTCGTTCCCCGGAGTCATCCACACTTCCGTAACTTCTTTCGCGCCTCGGTCTCAATCGTATCCAGCTCCTGCCTTTTTTCTGGCTTTTCTGCCCTGTATTCATGCCAAAGTCACCAGGTGCTGAACATAAAATTGCGCAATGATATCTGGGGAAATAAAAATCCTGTGTATTAAATAAATCAAATAAATGATCATATTCATAATCATGTCAATAGTTTTCATCTTTCTTCATCTATGAATGACACCAACAGGAGTTGCATACATAGTAACTTGTTTGAGTTGATCACACTCCACTTGATTGCAAAAAAAAAAAAAAACGGCATAGAATGCTCGCAATATGGGGTAGGATGTTTTCTATATGTGTCTGAAATAGGGGGTGTTTTTTTCTTCAATATGTCTGCTCCATGGGGTACTAAATTTACATTGCGTCCGCAATACGGGGTATGGTTTGCCAATGTGCTGCCAGCCCTAGGGGCCTTTTATTTTTTAGCGAGAACGCACATGGTGTAAGGTTTTTATATAGAGTGACCCCCCGGGGTTTTACCCTGTCATGAAACGTCGTTCCCGTGGTATGCACAGTGTCAACTGGCGAGCCGCCGGGTTTCCCTGAATACGCATTGCCACCCGTGGGTAATAATACCGGCAAAAAAATGGATGGGCTATTTATAAACTATTAATTTTAGAACTAATGCCAAAAAACAAAAAAGTAATAATGCATAAAGAATACATATTGGTATATAATACATGTAGTATGTTAAATTCAATAATCAGTGTTGTTACTAGTACATTATTTTATTACTTTACCAACAAATATTAGTGTTATATTAGATTTTATCATATTATTTTACAACTTTAACAAGTTATTAGTACTATGTAACCATTTTAACATTAAATATCAGTCACGGTGCTCCCCACCATGTTAGCATTAACATATTGTTTTACCATTTTACCAACATTTATAAGTGTTCTTCACCATTATGTTTTTACCATTTTATTTCATCACTGAACGAGATATTAGTGTTTTCTACTACTATGTAACATTATCATATCATTTTAGCAATTCCTCATAAAAAAGCATGAATTAAATAAATTACCAAGCAAGGAAGGGTCATAGGCAAATTTGATTTATTTAGATCAAAACAAACAAACAATCATCACAAAAACAAAGGGCCGACTGTGTCATTTTTTTTATTCGAGGTTGAACATTGGAAACTCCGGGGTTGGGAAATGGTATAGTTTGGGTGATCAATGATCAATAACAGGAAAACAGTCTGCGCGTCTATTCATACAGAAAATTCATCTTAGAATCGAAAAATACCACAAAACTAAGTGAATAAAAAATAGTTCGCACAGTTTTTCTGAATTGTGAGTTTCTAATGGTCCACCTCTTACGAACGATTATAGCAGTGACAGTCTGAAGCTAATTCCGAGTCACTAAAACAGTTGCATCAACTTGGTGTAATAATTGTATTTAGATAATACTACTTTTCTGTTCAGTGAAACATTATCCATATAGGTAATTTTGTTCGTCGCGATATCTTGCTCTCACTAAAGGAAATTGGAAACAACTTGACTTCCAGACTCAGACTGAGTACATTAAATGCCGATTAAGAATCTCCACTAAATAGCAACTACTACTAAAAACGAATGCTGTATATTCCGGGCAACTCTTTAAATATCTTTCATAGCAACACATCTTTCCAGTTGAAAATCTTGAAACAAAAATGTAGAGGTTGTATTCCACCAACTCAGCAAAGATAGGGATGTGTCGTGAATAAATGAATACTGTAAAGGGATTAATTATTCACTGGGTTTTAATTTTGCTTATTTCGCTGACTGGGAAATGCGCTAAATTAAAACCCAGTGAATATGTAAAATTGAGCATAGAAAACATTATCTAAATGAAAAAAACGTGAATTTAATACCCACTGAATATGCCTGAAATGGTAAATCAGCGAAATTTAAACCCAGTGAAAATTAGTCATTTGACAGTATTGGAACAGGGCTTACAAGCAACCAACATTAAGATAATAGTAAATTAGGTTTTATGTTTGAAACGGGAAATATGGATATATATAGGATGCAGTCTACATTACCTTCGACTGGAAGCATGGAGTAAATACAGAGAAAATAAATTTAAATATTAGTATAGCTGCGTTGCAGCAATGTTGGGTTTCGAGTCCTGCGTGACTTATTAGCAGCGTTCTGAAATTAACATCATTGACAAGAATATATCAATGGAATTACACGGCCTTCATACTGAACATTTCACATATCCCTATCTGTAACAGTGTGTAAGAGAATACAGGTATGCATATTATTGAGGTCATATGACCATATATGGCAAAAAGAAATGTGACTAATTTCTCTGGGCAAACACCATCATAAGTGCATTGGCTGCATGTCCGTGTCTGTAACAGAAATGGAGATATTAATGTTAAGCGTATTAATTAGGTTGCATGATCATATGTTAGTCACATCTCTTGTGCAATAGCTTCAATATTGCACTGGTCGCATGTCCATATCTGTAACAGTGCTTGAGATACTACAATTATGAATATTTAATGAGGTCAAATGACTATGTATGGTCATCTGATATGTTTGTGACATCTCTTTCCTAATAGCTTCAATATTATGCTGGTTGCATGTTCCTATCTGTAACAGTGCTTGAGATATTACCGTTATGCATACTAATGAGATCACATGACCTTATGTGGTCATTTGATATATAAGTCACATCTCATGTGCAATAGCTATAAAACTGCACTGGTAACATGCCCTTAGCTATAACAGTGCTTGGGATATTACCGTGATGCATATTAATGAGGTCACATGACTATGTATAATCAACAAATATGTTTATCTTGACATATCTTGCCTAATGATTTAAGTTCTTATCGTCAGTAGTGCTGTGGATATTACCGTTACGCCAATTAATGAGGTCACGTGACTAAATATGATCAGCTGAAATGTTGGCCACATCTCTTGCCCAATGGCTTCAATATTGCACCAGTTGCATGTCCATATCTGTAACAGTGCTTGAGATATTACATTTATTCATATTTAATGAGGTCACGTGACCATCAGACTGGCGCAGTCGGGGCGATTAATTTATTTTTTTAGTTTAAATAAAATAAAAAAAATCGCGAAATTGAGGTGTTAGCGCGAAATCCTAACCCCGACTGGTTTATTCTAATATTCATGAATGCACATATTATAATGAGGTGGGCGCGGACTGAACTACGTGCATAATGAGGTCAACATGGTAAAGATCACACTGCAGACCCAACATGGCGGCACGTTGAAATTCGAGTTTGTCGTAGTCGTCGTAAATAGACTTAGAATGTAGCATAGAAACTGTAAAACGTAAGTTTTAATATAGTTTCTAGATGACAATTAAAAAAAAATCGGCTGCTACAATCAGCCGACGTCTTCTCGGTCAGAAGTCAGTTGAAGAGACGTTGTGATTGGCTTTGATGATTGTCAACTAGAACACTCATTAACAAAGTTACCCGTTGAAAAATCGACGGGTTCCTGCAGTGTCATGCAGAATAAACCAGTCAGGGTGATTTCGCAGTTACAGAAGATTTCGCGATATATTTTATTTTATTTAAACTACAAAAACAAATTAATCGCCAGTGCGCCAGTCTGCAT